ACCTTTTCATGCTTCCAGGGAAACCTTCCGTTTCAAGTACGGGTGAGGAGTGCAGAAGAATAACTTGACCTTCCTTCTCTCCACGGCCGGCTTCCTTCTCCTTCAGGGTCCCCCGAGTCCTGCTGTGTGCCTGCAGCCGGGGCCTGGTGTGCGGAGGTTGGGATAGGGAGAAATAATTTGACCTCTTCCTTATTTTCCCTCAGCACTTTGCGCCACCACCCACATTTCCAGAAATCTAGATCCTGCTTGGAAGAAATGGGGAGAGGACTTGGCGGGGGAGTCCCTTCGTTGGTCTCAGGTGGCAGGGGTCAGTGCCACCCTCCGTGGGCGGGGGGTGGGGGGCAGCCTCCAGGCACACATGTGGTCTTCAGGGGAGCTGGGAGACCCATTCCAGCAGCCAGGGATGACCTCGTACCTTTATTTCACCTGGATCTTTCTTTTTCCCCCCTCAACAGCCCTATTACCATATTTAAATGCAAGTATGTCTTTTTTCATTGACGTTTTGAGTAGCTTAGCCTGACCTTTTTAGACTAGCTTGTTCCCTTTTGAACTTCTTTCCTCCCCAGTAGTTCCGTGTAGCTAGGACAATAGTCTTAGAGTTTAGTGGGCTTCTAGTTCGCTGTGTTTGGGGGACGGCTCTGTTTCTTTCCTTTCTTTCCTCCCCGGCTCCCCGCCCTCCGTGGTGCATGTGTCCCCGACTCTGTCCCGTAGCGATTCCATGTCTGGAAGCTGCTGTGGCTAAAACAGAGCCGCTGTCGGGCTGTGTGTTGTTTGCTGCTGGCTCTTGGCACATCATTTAAAACCACCATCATTGGCAATGGGTCTTGAAATCAGGCCTCCAAAAGTTGAAATGGGGCCTCCATAAGTCTGCCTGGATGGCAGAGGGTGTTTGTTTCATGTGTGCGTGAGTGTATCTGTGTGTGTCCCCGTGTGTGGCTGTGTGTGGCTGTGCTCATGGCCAAGAGAGGCCCAGGGGAGGGGCTTCACCCACCTCTTCCTTCCCCTGGGCCTTCTGCGGCCACACTGGGTCACCTCGTCCCTTCTCACCTTTAGTCCCATTCTGGGACACCCTTGCTGCAGGGGGTGTTACTAGATTGCACACACACCTTCACAAGCTTGTTGGAGTTCCCGAGGAGACCCTTCACTGCTGACTTGATCGGGACACAGAGCTCAGACAGAAGAGCCGGATCGAAATCCCCATACTGTGCCTCAGGAGGTTGAAATTGAGAGACAGAGCCGCAGGGCTCGCCCCACATAGGTCCCTGCAGCCCCCGACTCCCTCCTACAGCTGCCTTCCTGTGTACACAGTCAGCTGGGACTCCCAGCACACCTGGCCCCCTGGCCTGCCAGCGTGAGCTAGTCCGGAGCTAAGCAGAGGAGCTAAGGCAGGCAGAGCCTTAGGAGAGTGGCTGGGTTCAGCGACCTCCTGGCCCAGGTGCCTGTTCTGCCAAGAGGCTGGGTCCCAACCACTCCCGGGATCCCTGGGCCATGCGTGGCCCTGCTCTGGACACACCCCTCGATCGGTGCGGGGGCAGCAATGACCCCACCCCACTCCCAAGAGAAGTTTCTCCCAATCCTCTCCAATTACTCCCGTGTTCCTTTTAGAACTGGTTTCTGGGGTGCCAAATGTGTAGGAATCAAAAACACCTAAAGGCGCTGTGCCTGCCGGAAGCCCAAGAGCCACTGACCCGGGTCCCTCCTGAGAGCTGTCCCGAGGAGATCCCTTTGCACTCCCGTCTGCGGGAAGGGGGGTGAGCGCGGCCTGTGAGCCCGGTCTGATGCAGGGCCCTTTCCGAGATCTCTCCTTTACTCCGGCTCCTCTCTCCCCGCCAGGCTTCCCGGCAGCGGCTTACGGACCAGTGGCGGCGGCGGCCGTGGCAGCGGCAAGAGGATCAGGTAGGGAGGTGTGTGGGACAGGCGCTCCCAGGCATGCCCCAGTGTGCGGGGGAAGGTAAAGGCCCTGTTGGATCTGTGTGGCTGCGTCTGTCCACTACTGTCACCACAGCCCGGAGGGTGGGGACAGGGGGGCGCGGGCCAGGCCCTGCCACCCAGGGCAGCTCCCCATGGGGGTCAGTCTCAGGACTGCACACCAAAGGTGGACCGTGATTCGCTCTTTGAAAAAAGACCAGTGAACTTCTTTTTGACTTTGGACGGCCGGTTCCCCTGACAGCCGGCTTCAGGGCACCTGTTGGTCATTTCCCTCCTCAGCTTTCACTGCTGCTTCACAGGGGCTCCCTTCCAGGAGCCTCTGACCCCGGCAGAGAAGCTCTAGCTTGTGAGAGGGAAGCTCAGGGCCCACGGGCGTGCTCCTGGCCTCGGGGCCCCTGCCGCACCTGGCAGATGGCCTTGCTGATTGGGCTAAAGCCCGAGTCCCGGAAGCCTGGAAGTGGGGCTGACCTCAGTGGAATGAAGCGATTTCCTGAAGCCCCCTATCGCATCCTGGACTCTCCTTGTAGCAGAGACCAGAGAGCTCCTAGACCCTACCTGCCGAGGGCAATGGGATTATCTCTTGTATAAAATTGCCCTGGTCCTTTAGTCTCCAAGCCCAAACTTTGAGGTCTTAGAGCCCCTCAAGTGAGGTGAGAACGTTTTCCCAGCAGCTCGGTGGGGTCAGGCTGG